TTCTTCTCCTGGTCAATTTTACATATATTTATTTGAAGTTTGAATTATCCTTGTACCCTTTACAGATACATAATTATATCCCCCTCCAAATCAGTTTTGACCTCGCAATTAGATCTGGCCATTCCTCTAGCCAGTGGCCGATTCTTTTCATTAGAAACCCTCTTTTTGGCCAATTTATAGGAGGGTTTATCTAGAGTCAGTGTCCACTTCCTGGACACTAAAAGGACAGACACGGCCGCCTCTGGCCCTTTTTGGTTCCTTGAGTTCTGGCTGCAGATTTATTTTCCAAAAGCCTTTTTCGGTCGGCTACCGGTATCTCCGAACCCTCAAAGGTCTCTAGGGTTAGCCCTTACCCAACTAACTCTGAACTACTCTACTCTCCATCCTTCCGACCCCGTAATTGCGGCCATTCTTTCGGACGACCGTAGTAACTCTAAATTTTTTGTTTATGAGACTTATGTACAGTACGCCACTGAGCTATTTTGGCCTTATTCGGATATAGATTACCCCCATCCATATCCAGATCCCTTACCTCATCTAAGCTACCCCCATTCCTGGGATTCCGCTCTCAAACCCCGATCTCTTTTTTCGAGTCCCAGATTTGATAAGAAAAATCACAAATATTTTTATACTCTTAATTATCAGCTGCAATTTTTGTCCCGACAGTTCGGCTGCTGTGAATGTCTGCCGGGTCCACTCACCTGATCACACTGTATGACCCAAAGTCCCGACGGGCGAATGATCCCTTCCTTAATTTTTCCTTATCTCTCCCAACTTTCTTCTTATCTCACCTCCAATTCTTACCTTCCTTTCCGCCGAAATCCCGAGTCGGTTGAAGCCTTTCCTTCCTGATGGTCAGCCACCTGGGCTGTGGTGGCCCCTCCTCCCGACCAGCTGTTGGGGAAACTCATCCACCATCCCGCCCTTGCCTTGGGCTCTCCACCCCTTGCAACCGTTCCCAGGAAGAGGTGGGTGGCTCCTGCTGAAGGCCCTAGTGCCCCGAAGAAAAAGAAAAGAGCCGCCCAAACCAAGGCCACCACAAAGCTGGCGTACGATCGGCAGGCGGTAAAGGACTATCTGGTGTCCTTACCTATGGACCCCGCCTGGTTGCCCGCCAATTTGCGCCGATACCTCAGTAAGGACTAACCTAATTCAGCCTTTTATTATTTTTTATCTTATGTGCTTCTGACAACCCTTGCCTCCAGAGTCGCTTCCCCTAGCTGCCAAACAACCAACCAACCAGCCTGCCAACCCACCAACCGACCTGTCTGCCGATCCACCAGCCGGCTTACCTACCGACCAACCAGTCGACTTGCCTGCTGAACAACCAACCGTAGCGGTAATTTCTAACATCCTCTACCCTCTATAAATTCTTAATACTAACCTTCCTTTCTTCTTTGAACACAGCCTACTCCCTCTTCACCTGCTGCGGTGGTCATTCCATAGCAGACCAATCCAACAAAAGAACTACCCATGATTTATTGGGAGGAGGACCCGACGTTGAGACAGGTCTCCTCTTCAATCTCCACCTCTTCCCGATCAAATGTGCTTCCGGTAAGTCTGAACTGACTACAAAAATTATGTTCTTTCCTTCTATAATTTAATCCATACTCTTTATCTTAGGAGCCTGCGGTGGTTGCTCCCATGGCCGAACCAGTCGCCACCGAACAACCACCCATTGGTGGCTCCCGAAGTGGTTCAGCCAGAACCAGAACCAGCCCATCCAGCTCCTGAACCAGTCCAAGCAAACCGCGAACTAGTCCAAAATCCCGAAATACTCCAAGATCCCGAACCAGTCCAATATCCCAAACCAGTCGAAGTCTCCTCCTCGGAGTTGGGCGATGCCTCCGTCAACCAGAACCGTGAAGTTGTGGTCAGCATTTCTTCCTTCTGTGGTTTCTCATTTTCTAATTCCAACCCTTCTTAACTTGACCTTTTATTCTTTCAGGGTTCGAAGCCAGGTTTCGTAGGTCCCCATTCTACGGCTGCCGAATCGGTCGCCAGGATAAGGATCTAACCTGGCCCTTACCCCTGGCCCCGGTTTTCTTAGCCCCTTCCGAGGCCACTGCCGTCCTCAATCAGGTAACTCCCACATTACTCCACCAACTTACCTTTGAGTTATATTTTTTATCACTCCAATTGGTTTTAACAGGCTACTCGTGAATCAACTTTCTCACAAGAGTGCCGTTGCTGGCGCCTGCCCGACTGGTGGTGATTCGCTGCGCCAACTTGTCATTCGCCAACTTGAGTTCTAAAGACCTTGAGTCTCTAGCTAAAGTGGCCATTGACATGCTGGTGCAGACTCCTGCCGAGTCTGCGGCAACCCCAATCCTCAGTCAGATGATGGAGAGGATCACCAAGCTTCAAGCCGACCTACCCCTGATCCGACCTCCAGCATCCGATGTTGCACCGTCTCAACCAACACCCGACACCGTGGCCATTGAGGCTTCCCTGTCAAGAGTGACAGAAGACCTCAATGAAGCCTCTACCCAGTTGAGTGAGCTCCAGAAGCGCGACACAATTTGGCCGCCGAGATTTCCCAGAATGTGAAGGAACTCGAAGGCCTTCAAAAAAAGCTGGAGACTCTAGACGGGTGCATTCAAGAGGAAGGTCGTCTGGTAACGGAACAATGCCAGACCCAAGCAAGCCTCCATGGCCAACTACAAGCAGGCATTCGGTCGGGTTCGTACAAGAACACCGGCAACGAAGGACGGCCCGGTCTGAGCAAAAATGAGCGGACCTATGAACCGCCCTTAGGAACTTTCTTTTGTAAATATAGACAATATCAAACCTTGTCTATATAAATTTTTTTACCTTAATTGTATACTGTTTTCCGATCACCGATCCATGAATTTGCACCACATAATTAAAAGTGAAATCATCTATTTAAATCAAACCTCAAAAGAGCAAATCACAGCAAACCTTCTATTCTTTCATCACATGGCTTCTCCCCGAATCTGTATTCTCTCCACCAACTGGAAAAGTTCCTTGCAACCATTCTTCGTAGGCAAACACCCATAGGCCATTATACTGAAGACCTAATACAGCTGATCAAACAACTTGATTTTAAATTCAAGTTTTCTGGCAAGGGTAGAAAAATCATGCATCGTACTATTCGCCTAATGGAACGTGTATCCACCGGCTATGAACTCCTCACCGACATTCTCACTCGTATATCAGACCTTGATCATCATAAGGATATGATAGACCATCATGTCATGGAAGTTCTCCCTGATCTTAATTGGAACAACATTTTCTGTCAGCAAAGATCAACACTTTCCAGATTGCGCATTCTTGTCGAGCGAGAACGTCATTCTCTACAAGATATGAAGGTTCATACAGAACAAGACCTTCAAGAAATGCAGGACCAATGGGATCGTTATCGTCCAGACCTCTTAGATCTCCTTGATGAGGAACCCGAAGTGGTTACTACCAATTGGGATGAAGATTCTGAACCAGAAGATGATCATGTTTGCATCACCTTTTCAGATGATGAATAAAACCCTTTTCCTGTGGGTTCAAACCCTCAAAGGGTTCTTCGATTTTTTCTTTAAAAAACAATTAACAACAGTGCTCTGAAAAGGCAGGAAAATACATTTTAGATACTTGGCGTTAATATTTTCATGTACCAATTTCCCTTCCTGATTCACAATAATAAAAGCTCCATTCCCGATCTTTCTGTGAATGATGAAAGGCCCCTCCCAATTTGGGGACCATTTACCCAACTGATCAACTTTCTTCTATGTGGGTAATATTGTTTTCTATACCAGATCTCCTTCTGAAAAAGTTCGAGGTGACACTTTCTTCCCATAATATCGTGCCCGTACTTCATTCTGTCGGATCATCTATTCCAAGGCTTCCATGCGTTCTGTATCCACCGTCTCCAGATGTTGCATCATACTTTGCTGATATTCCATCATGAGGTCCATACTAGTGTGAGCCACTCGGCTGGAAGTACAACATCCTGACCGAACGTGAGCTGATAAGGAGAAAATCCTGTGGATGAACTCTTACTGTTCCAGTGAGCCCATAAAGCTTGGGGCAACAACATATGCCACTTTCTGGGATTTTCTTCTATCATTTTCCGAATGATATTGACAATGATCTTGTTTGCTGCCTCAGCCTGCCCGTTGGCCTGTGGATAATAAGGTGATGAATGGTGAAGTTTCACGTGGAAACTTGCCAAAAATTCAACAAACTTCTCACCTGTGAACACCAGACCCTGGTCAGTGATGAGAGTATGCGGAATTATAAACTGATAAATGATATGATTGAGCACGAACTCAATCACTTCTTTTTGGGTCACATTCTTCAAAGGAACCGCTTCGAACCATTTGGTAAAATAATCTGTCGCCACCAAAAAAAATGAATGATGTTTTGATGAAGCAGGGTGGATCTTACCAATAACATCAAGTGCCCAAGCTTTAGAGGGCCATGGTTTAACCATCGCCTGTAATTCCACTGATGGCAGATGATTCAATGGGTCATGTCTCTGACATTCTGGCATCCCCTTGCAAATTTGATGCAATCCTCAAATATTTTTGGCTAGTAAAAACCCATGCGATGAATAGCCCATCTCATGTTAAGATCTGCTTGATGTACTCAACATATTCCACTATGAACCTCCTACATCACTTCCAAGGATTCCTTCGGTCCCAAACATCTCAGCAAAACCTCCTCTATGGTTCTCTTATATAATACTCACTCCACTAACTGGAAACGCAAAGCTTTTAACCGGACCCCCATAGGCGTTGATGAGTCTGGTGCTCACAGGTAAGCAATAATCTCAGTTCTCCAGTCTGCAGACGTATTAATATTTCCAATATCAATATGCCTGCATGCACATTGGGCCAGACTGTCTGCCTGCTAATTTTCTGCTCTTGGGATGTTTTCAACAGTTACTTCTACAATCTTAGACAGTAATGGTGCACTACCTCTCTGTATTGACGCAAATTAGGGTAATTGCATATGTACCACCTCAGAACTTGGTTAATGATCAACTATGAATCTCCGTAAATGACAACTGACTGAACATTCTTTGCCACCAACATCTCTAGCCCCAAAATCAATGCCTCATACTCAGCAGAATTGTGGGTCACTTCTTCCATCTGTAGCTACAGCATAATCTTTTGTGTGCCAGGCCCTTTCAAAATTACTCATACTCCTGATCTTCTGTTTGCCCGAGATCCATCGAAAAACATCCACCAGGGAATAATTCCTATATAAGGCACTAGTTCGTTATCCTCAGACTCACTTCTAGTAAATTCTACCAATAGGTCAGCCACCGCCTGACCCTTCATTGCTTTGAGTGGTCTGTATTTTAAAGAAAATGGGGCCAGTTTGATAGCCCACTTCATCAATCTCCCTTGCATAGTAGGTTGGTGCAAGAGCAACTTGACCAAGTCCACTTCGGAGACCACTTCAATTTCCCTTGGCAGGATATAATGCTCTAATCGGGTACAAGCGAACACTACAGAATAATACATTTTCTCTGGCATGGTATATTTTAACTCGGGCCCTATCAGGGTCTTACTTAAATAGTAAATAGCCCTCTTATTTCAATTATCCCATTCTTGGACCAAGATACTACTCATCACATCCAAACTATTCGATGCATATAATCTTAAAGGTCGGTTACCTTTTGGAGGAACCAATACAGGGGGTTCTGCTAACGCCTGTTTGATCGCTTCAAACGCTTCATGTTGCTCAGAACCCCAAATAAAATCGGCTGCTTCATTTTTTAACAGCTTGGTAATGGGTCTTAGTTTCCCTGCAGTATTTGATATAAATCTTCTCAAATAATTTACCTTTCCCAGGAAACTTTGAACCTCCTTGATGGTTCAAGGCGGCCGAATTACCCGAATTGCTTTGGCCTTGTTGGCATCCACTTATATTCCTTTTCATGAACCAAAAAACCCAAAAAATTCCCAGCTGATACCCCGAAGTACACTTAGTTGGATTCATCTTAAGGTTATACCTCTTCATCTGAGCAAAGGCATTCTCGAGGTCACCCAAGTGTGTGCTGAAGTCGGCCGATTTTACTCTCACGTCATCAATATACACCTTCATTGACTGCCCAATAAGATCATGAAAAATGGTATCCATAGCTTGCTAATATGTAGGCCCTGCGTTTTTCAATCCGAAAGGCATTACCGTCCATTCGTAAATTCCCAATGCCCCTGGGCATCTGAACGCAGTCTTTGGAGTATCTTCTTCTGCCATAAATATATGGTTATATCCAACATATCCATCCATCAAACTTAAAATCTTATACCCGGCAGCCGAGTCAATCAACATGTCTACCACGGGCATGACATACTCGTCTTTAGGAGTTGCCAAATTAAAATCTCTGAAATCGATACATATCCTAATCTTCCCATTCTTTTTGGTTACAGGAACTATATTTGCCAGCCAATCCGCGTACCGACAAGGTCGGATGAAGCCTGCTTTCAATAACTTCTTGAACTCCTCTTTGATCTGAGGGAGCAGTTCAGGATTGATTCTCCTGGGTGGTTGCTTATATGGCATGAAACTATTTTTTATGGGCAACCGATGCTCAATCAACCTCCGCGCTAATCCAGGAATTTCTGAATAATCCCATGCCAAACATTCCATATTTCTCCGTATTAGCGTTATCATATGTTCCTGTTGTTCTTTGGATAAAAAGCTACTTATTCGAACCATTCTAGGTACCTAGTCGGTTCCTGTGTTGTATTCAATAAGAGGGTCTTGTGAAGACAAGGAAGATTCTGTTTTTTCCAGAAGGTCTGGCCAACAAAAACCTTCGCCTTCAGCGACACAATTATTCCTCCCCCCATAGCTACGCAATTTAACCATTATTTGGTTTAAGTAAAATTGTTTAATTAAAACATTACACGTATTTAATTGTTTAATAAAATTAAGATAAAAAATTTCAGAAGTTTGGCTAATATTAGAGCCACTAAATACGAATAATGTTTCTTCCACAGTTTTTCTTGATCAAACATGGTTGTTTTGGAGATAGGGGGGACGTACTCGAAATACAGCACCGACTCTTCCACACTTTCTGTAGCATCAAAGGGGTTTTGATTAGCATCCAACTTGTAGACCTGATCCCCTTCCCAGAACATTATTTGCTGATGGAGTGACGAGGGAACGCATTTGGATGCGTGAATCCAGTCCCTTCCCAACAGCACTGAATAAGTAGTTTTCGCATCTACCACAAAGAATACTGTAAAGATTACCTTTTCCCCTACCTCAATAGGAGCAACCAACATGTCTTCTAGCTTAGTTGGTTGTCCAGTAAAGCTGGTCATTTCAATCTCTACCGGAGACAGATCTCCAATTTCTTTTCCAAGCCTTTTGAGGGTTCTTAGAGGCATGACATTGAAAATAGCTCCATTATTAATAAAAAATTTGTTAATCGGCTTTCCATAAATATGCGCACTTACGTATAACGACTTTAAATGAGGGATCGCTCCTTCGGGCAAAGGCGGGAAGATCATTGGTGGGGGTAATTCAGGCACTGAATTAGGACCCATTGCTATCTGTGCCCACTCTGGTTCTTCCATATAACCATCATTCAGGCTCGCCCATTCTTCCTCTTCGAATCGACGCATGTCAGTCATCCCGACCTGAAATGGCGCACCATCTGATCCTCCCATATTTCGAATCTCTCTACGTAATCCTTTCATCTCATCTTGAGAAAATGAACCAAAAATCACGTTGGGCGGTTCTTCCTCTCCTCCCACTATCATGGGATCAATATTAATTCATCTATAGATTGACAACAAAAACGCCGAGCCTTCTTAATTGGTCTCTCTTCCTCTCTCTGCCTGAGTAGATAGCCTTCCTGACTTTTTCGTTCGGGTGACATTTCTGATGGTTTCGGTCATCCCTTCCATGATTGTTTCCCGTGTCTAGCAGCATACCTACGTTTGGCATTACAAATTTTTGTTTGATTCATACCTGGAAACCACGGATCTATGTCAAACAGAAGTGGTTTCTAATTCCTATTCAATCCTTCATGCATCTGCCTAGGTTTGCGGGTCGGTTGATCACGAACCACTGCCTGATCCTTCACTTTCACTTCAAAAGTTCCATCCACCTTATCCCATTTTTCTGCAACCCAACCATCGCAAACTTTGAACTTGTCTTTTGATTCTTCTACTCTCTCCTTGGGCTTCTATTCCCTTCTCTTTGTGTCATCATCGTCTTCCATGCAACAATCCTGCGAAGGGCGAACAGAAATCATAGCAGTAGTTACCTTTGGAAAGGGTTGTTGCTCCACTCCCATTGTGACATATTTAGAGCGTCCGGCTTTAATAGCCCTTTGAATTTCTTTTCAAAAATGCATGCACTGGCTGGTGTAGTGAGTAAAAGACTTATGCCATTTACAATATGGCCTCCTCTTTATTTCTTCTTTGGTTGCCAAACGTTGTCCTTTCAGAATTCAAATTTGCTTATCAGCCAGGAGAATGTCAAATATTTCATATTCTTTAGACGCGTCAAAGGTAGGTTGATCCTTTTCTTCCATCCCAGGAATCAGTTTCAAACTGGGACATACATATGGTTTCCCATGTACGATCTCTGCTGCCATCTCCTCTATATACCTGGCTTGATTGACATCTGACAGATAGACTTCCGTTTCCACGCTAGCCATTTGTTGCGCTTTATGTCGTCGGTAATTCTGATCCTTTTCCCTGAACAAAGACTCCAGACAACCAGCTTTAGCCACCAAACTGGCCAAATCTCCAATATCATGTGCTGTTAGAGCCTCCCATAGCCGTGAATGCATACTCCTTACCACTAAATTGGTCATCTCATTTTCTTCAATCATAGTTGGACAATGACCTTTCATCAGACAGATTTGTTCGATGAACTAGTACGCTGTTTCTTCTGGAAACTATTTGATTTCTAACAAATCCGTAAGTGATACCATCGGGAGAGGATTAAAGAATCTAGCATGAAATGCTACTTCCAAACCCTCCCAGGTTTGGATTTGTCCAGCCGGAAGGTTAGCAAACCAAGAAAATGTTGTTCTAGTTAGGGATAATACAAACAACTGTAACTTATAAAGAGGATTGTTACCGACTTCCCCTAGTTGAGCCGTGAAACGACCTACGTGCTCAATGGTTGATGAAGCGTCTTCTCCCGAGAAGGTGTGGAAATCTGGCGGCCTATAATTTCTTGGGAGAGGGTGTTCATTTATAACCCTCTCTGGAAAGGGCCTTTGGTATGTTGGCTTATCCACCGTTTGAGGATTCATGCCAAAATGCACTCGTAGCACTTGGCCAATATATTCTGGGTCCACCCTGGGTGGATTATGATCGAAAACCGGAATAGGATTGTGAACCTGTCCTCCCATCCTTTCGCCCCTCTCTAACATTGCTTGATCAATGCCCTGGCACCCAACGGGATTGTGTTTGGGAATGTCAGGGGAGTCTTCCCTCTATCCCCTCTAACAGCAGCACTTGGAATTGTGTTGTGTACGTAAGATGGCCCAGCAAAGTTCATCTGTAATCTGGATTGTGACGATGCTGGTGATGTTTGGGTGGGTTGTGGAGTCACCCTTGCCAACGTTTGATCCAACATATTTTGCATTAAATTCTGTTGCTCGCGCAACATTGCCTGCATAGCCTGTGTCTGCTGATTGTTCAACTTCTGGACATATGTCACCCAATCAGTGGGTGCTTGTGGGAATTCTCCCATATTAACCACGGAGGATAATGTTGTTTCTCCCGCCATGGTAGAGGAAACTTGAGACTGTGAACCGGCCATGTGGATCCTTCAATGATTCGGCCGGATCTTAGTCGTATGAAATTTTCATCTGACGTAGGATCAGTAATCTTGCCTGTCTCCCATTGTGGTCGCCAAATTGTTGATGTTGTTTTTAATCAACAATAAAAAGTAAAATTCAAAAATATATTCGAATTTGACTACAATAATATATGGGATTTAAAATCCCTAGATACCATACAAAATGCAAAAAAGTTAAAGCAAACAGATACTGAAAAGAAAATAAAAGATGATCCCCAAAGAGAATTCACTTAAATTGATGCTGATTGAAGATGCCCTTTGCCCGACGCAAATTGCTTATAATATGCCCTCTAAGTCAGTTATCAGATCGTATGCATAATCGGTTGTAACCGACAAAAAAACCCCCTTGCGGTTGCAACCGCCTGCAGAACTGCTCTTCGGTTACGTTCTATGCTACCAACCAACCAGACAAACTGTGGACAAACCGACTAGATAGACTGCGGACAAACTAGTCGGCTAAATGAGCTACCGACTGGCCAACCGACCGGAAGGGCTACCAACTGGACAGCCAACCAGGCAATCTACCGACCGACCGACCAACCGACCAAGTGGCTGACCAACCGACCAACCAAGCGACTGACCAACCAACCAATCAAGCGACTGACCAACCGACCAACCAAGCGACTAACTGGCTTACCTTTTCCTTTAATGGATATTCGAAGGCCTACTTTCTTTTTTGGGTTTATCCATGGGCCCAAACGTTAAAATCCAGTTATAGGCCCAATAAAAACCCTAGAATATTTTAATATATAAAAAACTCCAAAACTTTTTAATGCACTTGTACCAACCAAAGTACCACGTTAAGCAAATTTTATGCAATAGGACAACCATCGATACACATTAAAACTGTGTTCTATTCAGGTCACAAAATGCCAAGCTAAATCGTCTACAACAACTGAACATTGCAAATAAATCAAAAACTTTTTAATTCAGTTGTACAAAGCAAAGTACAACATTAAACACTTTTTTATGCAATTGGATAATCTTTAATACGCATTAAAACCGTGTTCAATTCAGTTCACAAAATGCAAAGCTACATAATCTCCAACATCTAACATCTCAAATAGCTCCAAAGCTTTTTAATGCACTTGGATAAACCCAAGTACAACATTAAACAAATTTTTATGTAATTGGACACACTTCGATAGACATTAAAACCGTGTCTAATTCAGTTCAAAAAATGCCAAGCTACACAGTCTGCAACACAAAACATCTCAAATAACTCCAAAACTTTTTAATGCACTTGTACAAACCAAAGTACAATATTAAACAATTTTTTATGCAATGAGAAAACATTTGATAAGCATTAAAACTGTGTCTTATTATGTTCACAAAATGTCATGCTAAACAGTCTGCAATGTCTGACATCTCAAATAACTTCAAAACTTTTTAATGCACTTTTTCAAACAAAACTACAACATTAAACATTTTTTTATGCAATTGGAAGTTTATACGCATTATAACAGTGTCTTATTCGGTTTGCAAACTGCCAAGCTAAACAGTCTGCAACACCTAACATCTCTAATAACTTCAAAACGTTTTAATGCACTTGTACAAACCAAAGTAGAACATTAAACACTTTTTTATGCAATTGGATAATATTTGATACGCATTAAAACCGTGTCCAATTCAGTTCACAAAATTCAAAGCTAAACAGTCTCCACACCTGAGATCTCAAATAGCTCCAAAGCTTTTTAATGCACTAGTATAAACAAAAGTACAACATTAAAAAAAAAAAAATTATGCTATTGGACAACCTTTAAAATGGATTAAAACCATGTCCTATTCAGTTCAGAAATTGCTAAGCTAGACAGTCTACAACACCTAACATCTTAAATAACTCCAAAACTTTTTAATGTACTTCTACAAACCAAAGTACAACATTA